TATATATATTTTTTTTATATTTATATGTATTCATTGACTTACGTACTAATAAGTACTATGGTATTTGGCAAATTCTCTGTCTTACGTAAAAAAGCTATCTGCACGGAAAGCGTGTTCGCGAATACGAGGAAGCGTGCCAATAGTCTTGATGTATCAACAGGTGCAACGATATAGTTCTCGAGAAAGTTTCGCTGCTAGTTCTAGATTTTAGATACTCTGATCCTTTTCCATCTCTCTTATAATTCTGCACAGAAATATAGTAATTTCTGTTTTACAAAATGAACGATTGCATGCAATTAAATTTAATATATTTTAATAATTTAATTCCTTTTCAGAAAGAGAGACGAAAAGTTGTCATTCGAATTGCATTCAAAACTGATCGAAGTTCGTAAAATCTTTCATTAGAACCCGCACATTAGAGCGAATTAATTTGGATTTATCATTGCATCTGTTTGTACAACAATCTTACAATGTTTTTCCCCTTCTGTTGTGAGTCTCCCATCTTTGATTTTTCGCGAAGACACGCATTCCGTATCGTGCATAATTCTAAACCTACCAAAACTCTTAATATCTATTCTCGATACGTCTTATAATTAAGGGAAAACGTTTACAAGCATTTACAAAAACTTATCACATTTTAACGTTTGCGTTTCTTTCTGCAAAAGCCATCTTAGACATTAGGACAAGAGCGGTACGTTTCTTTTTACTCGCTATATTTAGATATATTAAATATGGCAGCTTTCTGATGTCACACTCTCTCCGAGATCACTGAGTGAAAATTCGACCGCAAGTTCCGTGTATCTGTAAAACTTGACATTTTTCGCGGTAAATATCATTTGCTTTTGATTACACTATACATATTCAGAGACTTTTAATATTAAGGTAGTTTATGTTAAAATTTTGTCATAAATTTATTATAATTCGTTCGTCGATTGTTCTTGCACGCATCCTAATACTGTTCTATACTGCGAATAAAGTGCCTTTCAACTTTTTTTTTTATCATTATATAAACAACCGCAATTAATCACCGTAATCACAGTGACTTTTGCAATGTCAATACAAATACACAGTGTCGCAAGAGTTGCCCTATCTTCATTTTACTTATCTCTCAATTTTAAAGAATAAAAATTTTTATCGTTATAGAAAAAGAGGAAGAATTTTAAAAATAATAAAAAAGAAAAAAAATAAAAAAGATGAGCTGCCCTTACGTCTCTTAATGAGGTAACTATAACATTGTAAAATATCATGACTAAAAAAATAAGAATAACTGAGAGCTTTTCTCACTCGAGGTAATAAAAAGTAAAAAGGTATAAATATACAAGGATAGTTATGGATTATATAAATGTACGAAGAACGAACGAACTCGCTACAAGAATATGCGAGATTTAAGTAGTAATTCACTCATAACTATAGTGGTCACACGCATGATCGTAAAACTCAACAGAGAACACGCGCGTATTAAACAATACGCGATCAGCGACAAAACAATGAAAAAGATGCAATTCGACATTTCCTTTCAATTACCCGAATGATAATTGATTCCATTAATTTGGCAACGTGAAAGAATCAGTCTTTAGATTTAAAAATAAATGAGAAAAAGATTGAACGTTACGATCACGGAGTCAAAAATTTACGAGAATAAAAGCGTGTCGAATATATATCGCGTATGAGTTATCTATCATTTATGTCTCTCAATTGATAGTCATTTCTAATCAAAAGACATGAAGAAGGATGAGGTATGGAGCTTGAGGGAAGGAAGATAATAGATTGTTCAAGGTGTATGTACAGTTTGAAGGTCGCAAAATCGCATACCTCGTTTAAAAGAGAAAGAGTTTTTCTCTGTTGGCGGAATATAAAAGCAACACTCATAGTCTTTAACATTCTGAAAATAGAGAGCTGCCCTTTTAAATAAGAATTAAAAATAAAACCTTTTAAAAGTACCTTTTTAGAAGTACTGGATGTGATTGCAATTAAATTGAAACACAATCAAGATTTCATCACGCTAAACTAATTGCTAAATAAACACGCTAAAAAGAAATAGAACAATTGATAAATAAAAAAAAAACACTTGGCATTTAAAGAAATGTACGTCAAAGAAATTAACAATGAATTTTGTTCACCATTTCCATCTTGTTCAAGAATATCTCAATTCTTTCGCTAACTAACGGAATTTAGATATGTCTCTTACTGAACTCCCTGAAAGAACCTTACAGTACTCTTTCTAATTAAATATTAATTCAATATTGAAAAGAATCTTTTTTTCAATAACGAATTAGAGCTGCCTGAATATTACAGTGTGAAGAATACGAGCGTTGCATTTTTACGCGGTTATACTTTTTAAATGCAATATATTCTTTCCGAACGAACACGAAGTTTTTTTTTTTGTTTGTCTTCACGCGCAACAGAGTACGACTTTCCGCGCGGTCTTCTTAAAGCCGCGCGCGACAAAGGACACGATACTACCCAGCGTACTAGACTGTAATAATCTAAAGGGTGCCTCGAAGCGTTCATCTAAATTGATCAGTCGACCTCTACCAATTGCACAACGAATTTTTGTACATTCTTCTTGCCAGCTTCTTCTTCTCGCGCAACCGATCTACCTACTCCTCGTTTCCTTGCATTTATACGTTATAATTATATCCGTAACTTTCTCCTTAAGAGCAATTACCGAGTAAGCTTCGCTTATTCCGTATTTCTCGTTTTCGTAAGCTATCGATTATCTGTGCTCCTTCGCATGCTTCGGCGAGTACAATGACGGGGCAAAAGAGTTCAAGACTGCTTTTATGTTCAAGGGACAAACCTTTCAAACGTGACATATTCTTCGATAAAAACTACCTTGGATCCATCTTTTTGATGTTATTTTCGAGCGATCTCACGATAGTCAAAGAACAAATATTTCGATCAAATCGCTTTCACTTCGAGCGTCTTAAAATCTTAATGTTTTAGCTAAAAGTACCGCGGAGAATATGTCAAGTTCTTAAAGTTTGCTCGCTTCTTTAAGCGGTTTAGCTTACGTTACATGCGAAATCAGACGTGCAGTGAAAACTTTTTCGCGGCAAAGTAATAGGCGAAGGATACGTTCACCAGTGGCGGGAAACGCTTTCAAGGGATTCTACGAGGAAGTGTAGGCGGCAAGTGTATCGCAGTACACGAGGTAAGAGGTTTCGAAAGGGTAGAAGGCGAGTCGGCGTGCGACTGTGAAACCGCGCACGTTTTTTTTTCTTTCTTTTCTTTTTTTTTTTAAGAGAGAAAAACGAAAAGCAGAGATTGGCGCTGAATGGGCGACAGAGGAATCGCGTGAGGCTTCATCCGGAAAAAATTCAGCGAGACGGATCGCTAAATCCCTCGTCTTCCCGCAAACGAGCTCGCGAATGTACGTACGACGATTCCCTCTGCGCTTCCTTCTTTTCGTTTCTTGTTTTTCATTTTCTTGTTTCTTCCTTTCTTTTTTTTTTTTTCGAGAACACTTTTTAGCCGGAAACCGCGCTGCGTTTTTCCGGAACGATTTACAATCTAGTACGCCGGAAGAATATCTAGACGGCTGAATCCTTGCCGACGAAGCCGGTCTTGGAGACGGACCTCTTGCCGTCAAAAGTGATGGAGGTCTCCCGGCGCAGTCCGGAATCGATGATCGGCGTGATCTTCTTTTCCTCCTTCAGCGGCTCCTTCTCGTCTCTGCAAAAGTGTCAAGACAACATTTGTCGGAGGACCGTGATTTCCGATGTCGGATTAACTTCTAATACCGGGCAGGAAAAAAAAATGAGAAAAAGAGAGCATGTCCATATGCGGCGCGTGGTGCGACATCGAATACACACGTTAGGCATGCTGTCATTCGCAAAGTAAAAGAACTGTCGTAGTGAGAGAAGCTTCGAAGAAACGATGCGTCTCTCTCTCTCTCTCTCTCTCTCTCTACGCGGATCTATATGCCATATACCATTTTCGATTCCGATAAATCCCGAGGAAGCCGCGTTTATTATGATTCTGAAGGAATTTCCTAACTAGTCCAAGCATTCAGAAAGTTGAACAGCGTCCAACTTTCTCAGCGTGCATATGCACAAAGTTTCGTAGAAGATTAAAAAGAAATTGCCTTCTATTTTTTACATAAATCTATTATAAATATATACGGTTTTTACTTCGAACAAATTTTTTTCAATTTTAAAATTATCTGACAAGGGACCATCTCGATATGCACAACAAATTAATGAAAATTTTTGATATCAGTAAAAGAGTCGACAGCATAAGATGTAAATTAAAAAAAAAAAAAAGGCAAAACCATATAGGTTTCAAAAAATGTTTGGTATTATAGTACGTAGTAAACATTCTGAAACGGATAATATTTCAAAAAATATTGATTTAGCTAAAAAATGTTTGAAACAAAAGTAATAGGATTTAAAAAAAAACGCTACCAGCTGTTGATTTTAAAAGATCCCAAAGTCAAATTAATATCTACATCTGCTTTTTTAAAGCCTATTACTTTTGTTTCAAACATTTTTTTGATAAATCAATATTTTTTTAAATATTAACCATTCCAGAATTTTTACCACGCACTATAATACCTGGGAATCTTACGGTCGTATTTTTTTTCTTAAATTTACATTTTATATATGCTGTCAACTCTCTTTTACCGATATCAAAAATTTTCGGTAATAATTTATTGTACAAATCGAGATGAGTTTAACATGTATTTTTTAATATAACTTGTGCTTTGTACATAATGCCCGCATTTTTAAGAAATAAAACTTAAATAACGAAGTTGAACGAAATCTATGAACATCATTAAAAAAAAATGCAGACCATTGAGTGGAAGTGATTTTCATTTTCAGAAATAAGAAGTTTTTGGAGCATTTAATTTATTTTAAAATAATTACAAAATAATATAGAAATATTTAGAAGA